AATAGAACACAATGACAAAGAGATCATGTAGTTTTTTTAATCAAAAACCCAAATGCAGCTTAGGTACTACTTTGGATTGAAGAAAATTGTGTTTAAGTTCAACCGCTTCAGTTTTGTTTCTTTAAGATAATACAGTTAAATATATTTCAATCTTTGAAAAGTTGACATTCTGACCCTCAGCCATCATGAGGGAAACATGTCATTGCAGCTGTGTTTGTTTACAGCTGAAGGTTGAACCTTGTGGGCAGGTCACAACAATTCCTGGGTCTGAACTTTTGACTGTTCACATTCGTTTTTACGATCGTATCTGTGCTCACAACCTGTGTTTACACTTGTTTTTCCTCGCTGCAGATAAGCACCTCGCACCTGGATAAAGTACAACTGAGCCATGGAGTTAAAGGTGAAATGCACTAATTTTCACAGATTTCAGACAGTCAGCAGACAGAGCTTTTCCTATCTATCTATCTATCTATCTATCTATCTATCTATCTATCTATCTATCTATCTATCTATCTATCTGTCTGTCTGTCTGTCTGTCTGTCTGTCTGTCTGTCTGTCTGTCTGTCTGTCTGTCTGTCTGTCTGTCTGTCTGTCTGTCTGTCTGTCTGTCTGTCTGTCTGTCTGTCTGTCTGTCTATCTATCTATCTATCTATCTATCTATCCATAAAAACTAGTATTAAAAATAGATCTATAAAATACAGGTCAATCTAAATTGTGATAGATTTAACAGAAGAAATAACCCAAACAATCTGTAAATATGATAAAGTGGTTTTCTTCCTAACTTCCACCTCAGTTGTTCAGTCTTTGTTCCTGCTAACGTCCCGTGCTTGTGTTCTTTTATTACTGCTTGCCTTTTCGTGCCCAGTCAGCTGTGACCCACATAACCCAGATGTTAGGAGAATAAGCTTTCAGGTTTTTATCTGCTTTAACGTCATGTGGAAATTACATAAGACCAACATAAGGCAGGATCAGTGGCATGGCGAAGCTCAGGACAGGAGCTGAACTTCAGAGCACACACTGCTGTGATGGTGCAGAAAGATGATGGTTCCTGATGGCTGTTTTGTTCCTGTTGATTTATGAAGCTACACTTGCAGAAATGCTAATGTGCAAAGGTATTTTGAAGAGTTAAGGTGTTTTCATAATAGATTTAACCGTTGATGTTTGTACACAGCAGCTGTTTGTAATGCTCCAGGTTTAGTACTTTGGGTATACAGTATACACACATATATACATAGAAAACATATCTATGTTAATAATTTGGGTAAGACAAAGGCAGCCAACTAAAAATCTAACCCGCAGCCATAACTTAAACAGATTGACAGAAACAGACACTTTGAGCAGCAATTACATCTACACCCATTGTAATTAGCCTCCATTTTGTCTTCAACCCATAAATTACCCTTCAACATCAGCCTGTTGTTTGACTTCTAAACACATGACTTTTTTAAACTCATTACATTCCTTCTCACCTGTCAGTCTGTGCAACTTCCACCCTGTACAAATAATAGTAGAAAGTACCTACAATTTTAACATTATATTATCAATTCTAACTTTAACTCTATGATAAATATAATGTTAAATTATAAAAATAAAGGTTAAGTGTGATAGTGTTAAGATGTGACAGAAGGACAGTATCAATAATAATTGCTTCAGACTTTATGTTAACCACACAACACAAACACCTTTTTAAAAGCACAAATTAAATTAAATTGTTTAGTTTAAAATAGAGTTCAAACTTAGGTGATAGTGACCCTGTGTTTTTCTGTTTCCTGCAGGATGGACAGGATAAGACATGAGCAAATCAGAGTAGTTTTGAGATGAGATAAAACAAATGGAAACCCATGGAGATGTTGGAGCTAACAGTGTATCAGTAGAGCAGACAAGGGGAAGAGTATGTTGGTGGGAGATGATCCAAGGTGTTGTTGCAGTAGAAGAAAGAAGGAAAATTCTAGATGTCCTTGTAATGACGAACTTCCCGCTCATATTGGATGAATGTGTACAGAGGTGGTCAGACGGTGGTAAACTGCACAGGAAACAATTTGTTGCAGTAAAACAACAAAACGTAGCCACTCCTAAACACCCCACGATAACCAGCACCTCCTTCCGCTAACTGCATGCACGCCTTTGTGTCTGTCTGCAGTGTCCGTACATGTCTACGTTACCCAACAGTTAGAAACCACCGTTATTATTTCAATTATCCTGCAGCACCTGCTTACTTGTCTGTCCAAGAGGGACACTCTGCCAGCTGTTGTCTGACTCACAACAATTTTGTCTCTGAGCTAGAAAAGAAAACAGGAAGCATCTCAAAAGAGAAAATACCAACAAAAAGTGAAAAAAAAAACATTAACATTTACTTAAGGTATTTAAGTTGAGATTTTAGACCACACAGTTAGAAATAAATGGGATTTACACATAGTGCATAGCTATGTGAAAATGAAAATATTTTTTTATTTTATACTTTTGATATATGACCACCTAGTGTTGAAGATAGCACAAGCACATTTTTGTTTGTGGTATTTCTTTTTTCCAAGAATGTTCTTTAATGTTTCCTATGAAGAATTCAATTTTGTTTCCTTGGTGCAGAAAATTCCGCCTTAAACCATAATACAGCTTCCTTAAAATTGTGAGCATCTACAGAGTTAGATAAATATAGTACAAGTTGTGTGTTGAGAAGAGCTCTTTAACAAACACAACCTTAAACCAGTGGTTCTGTTATTTTCTGTTATGCCCCCCCTTGGAACAGAAATGTTTACACGCCCCCTACAACCTAACCCCCCCCCCCCGCGAATTGAACTGCTATTGAGAACCTGATAACGTGTTTGTTTTTTCACTGTATGAGTTGCTGCTACCGAGTGACTGTAGGCTTGCTATCATATTCCACTGGAACACCCCCAGCCCCTCACAACTCACGCGCCCTCCCAGAGGACCCGCCCCACTATTTGAGAAGTACTCCTTTGTTAAAAAATATGGGTAGGTTTTAAGGTGTCAGATGTAGCTTTAAGTAGTTCTTTAATGAAGACAGATGTGTCTTTCTGTTGAGGGCGATAATCCAATCCTGATGTTTTGGTCTGAATCACACGTCTGTGTTTGAATATTGTAACCTTTAGTTTGTTTTTACACGTCATTCCCAAACTCTCATTTTCTATTTTCTCTCCTCGCCTCTTCACTCTGCAACCACACACATCAACGCAGACCAAACAGTGTTGATTTAACTTTGGTGTAAGTGGCTCACTTTTTCGCTGTCCATTTGTACCGTTGCCAAGTCTCACTAAAAGCCATCAGCTGGCCGCCTGTTTGCTCTACAGAGTTGATGGAGTTTATCGCCTGGTAAAGCAGGTTTTATGTAATCGGTCAGTGTGCCTCTTTATACATGAAGTCAGGCTGGAAGAATAACAGTGAAAGAAAGCGGAGCTTTTTTATTATATATATATATATATATATATATATATATATAAAACTCCTTCTGGCTCAGATTCCTCCTCTTTGTTCAGCCTGTACATAGAAATCAGGATCATGTGTCCTTCATGTATGTTGGTCTTAACCGGGTGAAGAAAAGTGTTCATGCTTAAGATGAAAAAAAAACATGGACATCAGTCAGACTGTATAAACACAGGTGCTGCACGCCGCACACGGACATCTCATGGCCACTGATCTGAGTGATGACAGAGGCTGATTGCATTTGGGTTCAGGTCAGGAAGGTAAATACACACACACGCAGACACAAAAGCCAGTGATGATGCATAAAGGTGATGAATGCGGCTTAATCCTGATCCCAAGTAGGCGGAGTTGGACCTTCTTCTCAGGGCTATCACTTACAGGCCAAAGGTTCAGCATGATGATGTCATCAATTCACTCATACAATAGCAACATTTATTTATATACAAAAAATAGAAGTACAACATAACTTCCTCCTACTAGCATGATAGCATATCGTTAATTTTGCCAGTGAAGAAATCACAAAATGCCATTGGAAAAGACCTGATTAGACCTTAGGCTGATTAGTGCATACAGTATCATAAGGTTTATGATGTCGTGATTTATTTTTTAATTCATTTCAAAATTTACACATCATTTCTGAGTTTAAAAAACTATTCTGACTAATCAAAATGTTGTGTGCTTTGGTTTTCATGTTAGGCTTTAAGTCACAGAGGTTTCTCCTAATTGACAAAAGGATATAGCCTGTCTTGTTAGCAATAAACTGCTAATGTAGAAAACTTCCAGACATTTTCTTTCCTATTTTTACATTTTTACAATGGGTTGCAGATATCAATTTCAGTCTTTTGTTATTACTTGTAATAATAATAAAAGTAATAGTAATAGTAATTATTACTATTACTATTACTATTACTATTATAATAATAATAATTATTATTATTATTATTGTTATTGTTGTTCTTGTTCTTGTTATTGTTATTGTTGTTGTTGTTGTTGTTATTGTTATTGTTATTGTTGTTGATGTTGTTGTTGATTTTGTTGTTGTTGTTGTTAATGTTGTTGTTGTTGTATTGTCACTGAGTCAGTTAAGGTTTGGTATTTAAAATCAAAATGAATTGAGTTTGAATGAATTTCTCTTAACATAAGTTTCACTTGGTTTTTACCGATTTAACTACCGATTTTGGTTTTCATCGCATGTTCTATTAAGTCTGCAAACTCTCCAAAAGTTCCCTTTTTGTTCCATTAACGCCACATTGAGAGTTACTGCCTTTATTGCCCGTCGAGCCAAAGTTTCTCTGAGTTATGATCCATCCCGGAGTCCAACATAAACCACCAGCCCAGTCTACACCGGTCTCTTTTATTGGACAGTACGTGCTCTTTGTGTTTTTCCATCCCTTCGCTCCCTCTCTCTCCACACTCTCCAGTTTTCACCCTCTCTGGACACAAGTGTTTGATTCGCTGTCTGGTGCTGCATATTAATGGCAGCGGAGTGCTTTCTGTAAAAGAGCTGAGAGAGAGGAGGGGGGGGTGCGGGGGAGAGGGGGGAGGGTGTTTTAGACTCATCCAAACGCCCAGGACGCGCAGACAGAGTTGCACAATCAGCGCCTCTCCACAGAGAAAAAGCCTCTGCGCTCCTTCACTTCACTCCACTGCTCTTCATTCAGCCAGCACTCGACTGCAAGTGGATATTTGTTTCGCCTCTGAAGACTTTTTGTGCAATTTTTTTCCCGTGCGTTATACGCGCAGAGAGACAGTTAAAGAGTTTGGCATTTGGAGGAGACTTAGTGAGAGACAAATCTTTCTTTTTAATCACTTGGAGCCATGCATCGGTGCACCGTGGTGTTAGTGCTGTTAGTGGTGGCCTTTCTGAGTGCAGAAGGTAAAGTGCAATACTTTTATTTTTATGTCACATGACTTGTTGTTATTGGCAGACCTTTTAGCACATTAGTTGGTGTTTTTTTTTTTCTTTTTGAAAGACTGTTAATTACTTCCAAATATTTCCTTATCTCCTGTGATGCTTAGGAATATAAATAACACAAATCCGCCGCCCTTGCGTTTTAGTGCATCGCTCAGGATTTCGTTTAATTTCTTTGATTAGTTTTATTTAATGCAAAGAAGAATAGGAAATAGGTGAAAGTTGGACACAACTACAAAAACAGTAAAGACAACAATAACGATAAAGTCATAAAGTAAAACAGTAGTAATATTAATATTAAATATGATTTTTGAGTCAATAACTACTTATACTTACATATATGTATATGTTTATATATATATAGCTATATATAGCTATATACAGAGAGAGATAAAAAAGAAATACTGCGATTTATGTTTTTTGCAGTTAAAATTAAGCCATGTATAATACTCTATATATTTTCTATTGTCCTGAATCCTTTTTCTTTTTTTTTACAATTTTAAGTCTTACAATTCAGAGATCATATATTTAAAGTGCCATAAAAACACAAACAATGTTGAATATACACTCACTACTACAGCTTGTCTTAGCAAATATCACCAATGTGATACGTACAAGGAAAAACCAAAGCAAACTTTTTTATGTTCAAACATGGCCTCAAAAGGAATAAAACAGGCTTTAGCAGGGATTTAACTTCCAACAAGGCAGATCTGAGCAATGTCCTGCCCAACTATCTCAGATGTTTACGGAGCATCCGCCCAAAAATAAAGAAGATATCCTGCTCACTGCAGATCTCTGGGTGAAAACACCAAGTTGTTTCGAAAAAAACAAAACAGAAAAAAGCTGTCCACACTAACTCATATAATCACTCATTACCACAAAGGTCTGCAGGAGAGCGACATGTTTAGCAGCAGAAAACTCCCCATCGACTTATTTATCATTACAATGGTCACTGGACTCTTAAACTGTCTCCAGAGTCACCACATCTCACTGCAGCAGATCACCACTGGCATGTGGTAGAACAGTGGAATTACAGCTGACAAATCTGCAGCAACTGCGGGATGCTGTTGTTTTAGCGTGGCTCCGTGTGGCTTCTGTGATCTCTGTTTAATGTTTATATGGCTGAAGGAATTCCATCCAATCAGACATGATCATTAGACAGTAGACTAATCTAACAGAATGTCTGCTTTCTCCAAGTTTCTATTCACTCAGCCTTAAATGGACGTAAACCGAGTGTCTACCACTGTTTTTTTAACTCAGTGTTGACTTAACTGCAGGGTTGTTTTGTAACATATTCAGACACATTGGCTCAGGGCAGATGGTAGGTGATGAATAGAGGAAACCTTGAATGGTCCAGGTCATCACCTCACATCAAATAGGCATGGAAATGCCTTCGACTTTTTATTCGAAGTGATTTAATTTATTGGTAATTTGGACTCCAGGTCTCCTTACATCCTTCATCCGGATTGTTCTGTCAATATATTGAATTTATTGATTTTTTTAAAAGTTCAACTGGGCTTTTTGGGTGTTTATTATGTCTGTCAATGTGTTGCAGAGTTAAGTATTAGCTAAATGTTAGCCACTGGTACAGGTACATTTTATTGACAATTTTACAATTAACACAACAACATATGAGTGGATACACAGGTCATGTTTTGCATCTAAATAATTTGATTAAAACATGACCAAATTAGCTAGTAATTAGTCAGGGGTATAATAAAAGCTGAAATAGACAACATAGTTAAGTAACTGATTAAACTACCACACAAATTTTAATTTATTTAATTTATAAAATTAAGTGAAAATTTCAGGTACATAAATTCTAAGTATGGTCTTTTTTAGTTTAGTACCGACTCAATTATATTCTCTTTAAATGTTGACGCCTGACCAGTTTTATTTTTAATCCAAACTTAAAATGCCTTAATCAAGTGACCATTGCTGTAGTTCTGATTTTTTTTTTCCAAAAATGTAACAGAATTAGCAGCTGGCACCGATGTCCCTGCTCATCAGTGAACAGTAGTAGAAAACAATGGGTATTTAATGATGATTGAGAGAGAATCTGACAGAAAATGGCAAAATAATCACTTTTTGCTTCAGTTTGTTATAAATACTAATTACACGCTATAGTTATCTGTCACACAATACAGTGGCCAGATGATTTCCATTATGTAATAATTATAATAACTCCACACATCCAGAACTGACAAGACAAGTTTTTTTTTTGTTCTGAAAAATGTACGTGTTTGTTTGTTAACTAAACAGCCTACAAGTGCAGGTGCACCAGAAAAGGACCAAAGATCAGATATAAGGATGTGCAGAAGCTCGAGATCAAACCCAAACACCCGTTCTGCCAGGAGAAGATGATATTGTGAGTTAACGTCAAGTCTCTTTTTTCCTGCTAATTTGTGAACATCGTCCTTCGTATCATTCCTCTTTCCTGATCTCTTGACATTTTCCATTCCTCTTGTCTCTCTCCCTGAGTCTGCGTTTCTTCTTCATCTCTTTCTTTTTTTGTTCTTCTTGCCCCCATTCTCCCAGCATGCACCATGGTAAACTGTATTTGTACTTGCTGGACAGATATACAGTTGCTGTACGGCAGCTTTATAGGCTTTATCACAACATGCTGTCGTCAGTGCTAAATACACTTACAGGAGGATTTATAGTGTGATGATGCAGTGATGATTTAATTACGGAGCAGCAGAGGAGATTTGTGAGTAAAGCTGGGTCTCTGAAAGGAAACAGCTTTAAACAGGTTTAAAGGATTTTTTGGGGGGGTTTCAATGAGGGAATGCAAAAAAATTAGGTTTTTGAGTAAATTTTTAAATATATTTTATTGAAATAAGAACATTATCAAACTAGATTAACTAAGTAAAAATATTATATTATTATCATTTTTAATGTTGGCATCAATAGGTCATTTAAAAAAATTAGACAATCTCATAAAAGTAGGCACAAACCATTAGAACATTAGAAAAAGCATGCATGAGACAACAATTTACCACTGGTCTAAACTAAAAGTTTAATGAAGAGGTCTTTGAACCCTAGAGGTCCACAGAGGTACTGTGCAGGGGTAAAAAGCCACAAATGTTTCCACAAATTGAAATCTGAAATTACCATTAATCCAGGATATTTAAAAACATGAATATATTAAACTGGGTAACTTCACAATAATTAATAAATGGATCATACCACAGTACATTTATACATGGCACTAGGCCCAGGTTGATATTGAAACATGCTTTACACAATATACAGTATATAGCATACATTTCCTGCTCCATCAGTTTGATAGAAAATCACATTTAAAGACATGTGGTCCAGAAAGTTTTAGTGCTTCACATAAAATATGAAAGCCTTTTTGACTTTCAAATTTTTTTGTGTGTGTGTACTGCACGTATTTTTTTAAGCTGCCCTGAGTAACGGCCACGATGCTTCTCTGTCATTCTAGTGTTAACAATGCCCAGAGTCAAACTGCACCCTAAGAAACCTTTCATATCAGAAATGTATAATACAGTTAATATAATTAATGTTTTACCCTAATACAAATCAAGTCGCATACAGTGCAGAATCAACTACCCAGGAGTGTGTACCATATACTGTAACAATCTAGTTCAGGATCAGGGTTAGCCTTGAAATAACCTATAACAGTCAGACAAATGCGTTTATTTATTATCAACCCCTATTCCTTTGCAAGGTGGGGGGGAGCGGGGGGATGCAGCCAATCCCAGTCCGTCACAGGCTCACATATAAACACAAGCTACCATTCCCACTCATATTTATACCTAGGGTCAATTTAGCGCATCTGATCAACCTTATTTAATAATGAGCGTTCTGTGCTTGAGAGACCTCCCTACCTTTAAAAAAATACAACATGAAATCTCTGCATAAACCGTTATGAATTATAATTATAGATCTGGTCAGTGGGATTCAAACCTGTCCAAAGCTGCAGGTTCGTGACCTTGGTGTGGGTCAAAGGAATCTGTCTGTGATGAAGGTGTGATCTCTGTTGCCACCTGCTGGTAAGATATGACATGACACATGCCCAGAGAAACAAGGCCACCTGGGCAACAACAGCAGGCTGAAGCCAAGTGAGAAAACAGATTGTGTGGATGTGACATGAATAAATCTGTTGACACATTCACCATTCCCTCTGTAGACCAAAATGTTCCTGTTATGTAGCTCAAACGTAAGAGGGAGAACATATTCTTTAAAGCGGAGAATTGAGATGAGATGACATTTAATATCACTGCTATAATGTAATGTATAGTCACTGCCCACAGAAGTCTCCCTGTTACATAGATTGGTTGTGCAGGTTCTTCTCTGTTACATCTCCCTCACCAATCTTTAAATGCATTTTATCTCAAAGGAATAATTTAAAATGGTGAGCTGAATAAATTCATATTAGCAAAAATTCCAGGTACGACCATGTAGTTCAAGTCATACTGCAACATTTGTAGGCAATGATCTTCTACAATGATGTGTGGGCAAAACATTGCTTGATCAACCTCCTAGAATCCCAAAAATGGCCAAGATAATTGGGGTTAAAAACAATGTGTGTTAGTTTTGACTTTTATTTTATTCAAAATGATTCTGATCGATACAGGGGATCCTTCATTTACGACATCCTCGTTGCGTGGTTTTATCATCATCTCCCATAAAGTTTTAAGAAACTCTTTTTCAGCTATTCTGAGGTACAGCGTTAAAACTTACAAACTGGTACGCACAGTTTGTCACGCAGCACTTGACGACTTTGTTTACATCCGTCATTATACCATTCATTGGATTCTGCTACATTTTGTAGCTTTCATTTCTTTAATTTTTCTTCATTATAGCTTCCAAGCCGAAACTCTTTGAACGTTTTTATGTCCTAGATTATGATGTTACCACTGTGTTAGCGTAGTGTAGCATTGTAGGAACGGAACTCTGACGTAAGCTGTATGTGTAATATCATATATATTGTACAAACAACTATGGAGTTAGTAAAATAAATGTACAGTATTTCGAAGTAGATTTCTCAACACACCAGGGAAAAATAGTAAGGACCAACCAGGGTCTAAACAAAATGAGTCTCCAGTCCAAACATTCAGTTCTGTTCACCAAAGCCCAATCAGTCAGTCTATTTGGCAGAGTATTGGTCAAGCAACCATTTATCACAAGATAAAATGTGTTTGAACATAAAGGTAAAAACCTTACAGAGCAGCACATTTTTGGTTTGATTCTGTCAATGGGACAACAACAACAACAACAACCCTTCGAGGGTAATACATTTAATTGTAAAATGAATACACTCCCTTTAATATGTGCATTTATATATTGTTTTCAATAAAGAAGCAATAATTTGAAAGATTTTTTTCTCTCCTATCATACAAAAAGAATTTAATCTAAAGGTATACAGCATAAAAATGGTCCAAATCAATAAAAAGAAATTGGATTTGGTCTTTCATTCCTTTTTGACCCACAGGTCTGTTGTGTGTGTTTCACATCCATTAGTTCAGGCCTCTCTATTAGCATGAGATGGGGGCCACCAGCTGTTAGTGGCCGGTGAAAAATGAGTCCCAGCGGGCTCCGGAAAGCGACAGAAAGAAAGTGAGTAGAGAGAAACCAGGGAGAGAGTCCTCACCCCTCACCCCCCCTTACCCTCTCTGGCATTTAATGTGGCTGTTTGGCTTACGGTCTTCAGTTTGGCATTCTGGACGACCACCAGGAACAACAAACACATACAAGCTGAGAGCCCTTGAGTATCCCTGCTCTCTGTTTTCCCTTTTTGACGCAGCCTCACTTCCACTATCGCCAATGTTAAAATCAACTTTAAATGCACTTTTTTTCTTACATGTGGAGGCTCTGTGTTTGCCAGCTTTGGCAGAACCCGGAAGTAGGTCGGATAAATTCACATTGCCTAATATGTTGATCCCAGTCTACCAGAAGATCAGTTTATATGAGTTAATGCATATTTAAAATTCCAATACAGGTAGATCCCTTTAGACTGGTTATTTGAATAGAAGCTCCTAAGCCAAAAAAGTGTGGACAGTGGTCTAGGTTAGAATAGGGCCACTTGAAATTATGATTAGAACATGAGTTCATGAGTTTTCAGTTTTTTTAAATATACCTCAAAACACCCTTAATAAAGCAAAGTGACTGTTAAGCATATTTAAATTTAAATCCTAAATACAAAACAACAAGTGGCGCTTTGGCCCAGAGTCAATGTCTCTGTCATTGGTGTGGAACCCCAGGGTTCACCTCCTGGGCAAGATGGAATCCCGGTTAGGGCAGTTGGTGCCTTCCAGTGGACTCACCACCCGCAGGAAGGTTTAGAGGGGTTGGTACGGTGCAATGTGATTTGGGTGGCGACTGCTGCCCCCGCGACCCGGTAATGGATAAGGGGATGAAAATGGATGGATGGATGTATGGACAAAACAACAAGGCGTGTGATGTTGCGTGTTCATGGGTGTGGTTTGAAACTGGCAGTTGCTTCGGTGGTTTTGATTTTTGATAAATGAGCACTGTGTTGGATCCATAGTGTAGTGGTTAGCACACCTACCTCTGAAGCAGAGAGTCCTGGGGTTGATTCCCAGAGGATCCACATGCATGTCTGCTGTTAACACAAGAATTTCCCAAAAATGTCATCAATATATCATGTAATCATGTATTTTTATTTATTTGACTTTGTGTCCCACAGTGTTAAACCATGAAGGTTAGAGAAGCCGTTCTCTAAAGCTAGTAGTTAAGCTAGTAGTATTTCTTTCTGTTGTATTTTAATTTAAATTCATTGACTTGAAGTATATTTTTAGTTTTTTTCCGTTAGGCTCTCATTTTATTGATAAATATTTTAATGTTTTACTACAGAGAAGAAAACTGAAGCATTTTGTACCAAACTTCAAATGTTCGTTCAGTTTGACTGAACTCTGTATTTTGAGCTTGTTAGTGAGACAAACGGGACAAAGTCATGGTATTTCTACAATTGCAGGTTTTTTTCATCTTGACTTCTTTGAATGTTTAGATATATAACAGTCCAAAGAGAGGAGTGGGGTCTGTTGATTGTTGCCTTTCTCTCTCATGTTTAGGCCTTTAGAGCTGATGGTTCTTCTGCTTCTATTGAGAAAGAACTAGATTAAAAACACTAAAAACACAATTATAATCCAGTCTCCACAAATAGTAAGGTTCATTACATCCTCAACAATACCAGACAGTTGGCCTGTCACCACACCCCCTCGTCAAACACACACTCAGAGCTTGATTCTCCTCCAACAAAGCATCAGCTCCGCTCAACCTCAATAGCCTGACCGGCTGACAACTGAATGGGCCGCAAAAAAAGATGGAAAACACTTTAATCTAATTCCTAAAATTAAACTGAATTAAACATTTTTGGTAAGAGTCAGGTCTTTTCTTCCCAAATCAACTCAGTGAACATTTGTCTCTTTTTCTTACTCCTGGCCTTTGAATGTGTCACCGGATGGAGAGGCCCCAGGGCACGGTGGCTGGTTTTTCCCACATTTCTATTTTTCAGGCCTGAATATGCCACATGCAGGCAGAATGTCTCTGCTGCTGCTCCAGAAGGTCACAGTGTGCTTGAGATGTCACTTCTTTTAAGTGGCATCTCGACGACGGTGCTCCAAGAAAATGGCCTTTCAGTGAGAACGCATCTTTTGAACTGTGGGAGACTCTAACTGTGGTGATGTTATTGATGTCTGTAAATAATAGCAGCTTAAATTTAGGAAGAAAATATGTCAATCATTCTGCAACCTGATGAGAATCTATTCACAGGGATTTCAATAGTTACAGCTTTCACAACACAAGAGAAAAGGCCACTGCAGTGATTTTGAACATTTTACTTTATTACACATATATTTTACTGGTACATTGAATACAACATGCATATATTTGTAATATTGGTCTTACAACAAAACAAAAAAATTGAAGAAAAAAGTAGTTCCTGGAGCTGTGGTTTTAGTTCTTGTGAGAGTTCCTGTAACCATCCATTTGTCCCAGTGCTAGTTCTAGTAGCTTTGAACATGTACCAAAAATGTGACCCTAGATTCTGGTACTTGTTCCTGGGATAAAAAGTCAACCCTGAAACTGGTTGTCTCCAGTATGTCTCTGGTTCCTTGTACTGATCCTAGTCACGCTGTATGAGTTAGTATGTAACTGTATGTGAAGGTTACTGACTTTAGGCAAACTGACGTGCTTTTAGTTACACAGGAAATCCACATAATTCCTGGTACTGTCCTAGTTCCTTGTGTGGCCTCCTTCAAAGTTTCTGATAATTTTGTAACTGCAACACCTGGTTTGAGTTTCTGTTCTGAGACATGTACAGTTTTGGGTACTGGTTCAGCATCACTCTTTGAGCAGTTTATCTGTATTTTTATTTTATTCAGTTCACTCCTGAACTTAAAGCATCTCAAACTGCTGTAGTC